AGGAGCATTAAGTGTAGAACCACTAGACTGAGGAACAGCTTCTACCCTGAGGCTGTTAGACTCATGAATCTCTAACTAGAATAATCACTGTGAAAAACCATATCATGTTGCTGCTGATCTGTTTCATGCTGCTGCTGATCTGTTTCATGTTGCTGCTGATCTGTTTCAATGTTGATGTGTTCATGCGTGCACATCTGCTCACAGACTCATGTTCATGTTTGTGCTGATGTTCAATGTTTTATGTTATGAGTGCTTAGTGTATATTTAGTTGATGTTTTTCTTAGTTCATATCTTAGATGTTATTACTGTTTTTCTTAGACATTTTATTGTTGGATGTAACTGGGACCCTGTGTACATAATTTCGCTCCACCACATGTACCACATGAGGTGCGAATGACAATAAAGAAACTCTGACTCTGACTCTGATACTATGTGGTGTTTTGTCCTCTAGTAGTTTAAGCCTATTTATAAGAGCATAACAAGCCGACCCTAACTATAGGATTTATCAAAAAGTAAAGTCTTCAAACTGGATAATGTGTCAGCCTCATGGACAGAAACTGGAAGTTGGTTTCACAAGAGAGGAGCCTGAGAACTGAAAGATCTTCCTCCCATTCTGCTGCTGGAAACTCTAGGAACCACAAGTAAACCTGCAGTCTGAGAGTGAAGTGCTCTGTTAGTAAAATATGGAACAATAAGATCTGTAATATAAGATGGAGCTAGGTTGTTGAGGGCTTTGTAGGTTAGAAGTAAGATTTTGAAGTCTATTCTGGATTTGACAGGGAGCCAATGGAGAGAAGCTAAAACTGGAGAAATATGATCTCTCCCAGTAACTCCAGTTAAGACTCTGGCAGCAGCAGTTTGGATCAACTGAAGACGTTTTAAAGAAGTATTTGGACACCCAGATAATAAACCATTGCAATAGTCCAGTCTAGACGTGACAAATGCATGGACCAGTTTTTCTGCATCATCTTTAGATCAGATGTTTCTAATGTTAGTGATATTACGCAGGTGGAAGAAGGAGGTTCTAGTAATGTTTTTAATGTGGGGGATAAAAGACATGTCCTGATCAAAAATAACACCAAGATTTTTAACATTAGAGTTGGAGGACAGATTAATGCATCTAAGGAGGGAGAAAGACTGAAACATTCATTCCTAAGGTGCTCAGGTCCAAAAACCAAAACCTCAGTCTTGTCTGTTCAACAGGAGAAAATTAAGGGTCATCCAGGTTTTTATGTCTTTAAGGTTAAAACAAACGGCAATGAAACTGTTGCTTTGACCAATCAGGTAAGTTTGTAACTCCAGGGCCTTCTAGCAGGCGTCAGCCTTTTCACGTTGTTTGATTGGACAGACAGAGAGAGCACGTTCAGAGCCAGGAAACAGCACCTGAAGCAACATACAGACGCTAAAGATCGAGCAGACATGGTCTCCCCTGAAGTGATATGAACAAAACTTATGTCAGAAACAAAACAGAACAGACTGGACTTTCAGCGCTAACTTTCATGGCCATAAAAAAGGACTTCATGTTGAAACAAAAATGCCATGGTGACCTGGAGGACAGAGGAACTGAACTCTTGACGGAGGAAAGGAGGGTGGAGTTTGTGCACAGGTTATCAAAACTTGTGGTTAGTAAAATTAATTTTATTTAAATATTTTACTTTTTGTCAAGTTCATTACATCTATATTGATGCTTTTGGTTAATATGTGTGTGGTGCAGCTGTTGCTGCAGCAAGAAAACTTGTTGAATTGTGTAAATTAAGTTTTTTGTTTCTGTAATGGCATTTATTTTGGCTACATGAGAAATCTGCATGTGATGCAGCACCATGTGATTCTGTGTATTATTGATGGTTTCTGTTCAAACTGACAATAATCAAAACATGGATCAATTCAGGCACAATTGAAGGCCTAGGTGTAAAATCCATGCACCTCCACTGATTAAAGAAGATAGGGGATTAAGAAAATGAGCAAAAACAATAATCAATAATGTGCAACATTTAATGTGTGATAATCTCATTTTCAAAAGTGGTGTTTTGTTTGTTTGTTTGTTTGTTTTTACACCAAACTGCATCCTACATGTTAGTATTTGGTTTAACTTGCTGCTATAGTGTGTCTGTGTCCAGTCCAGACTGACAGCACCTGAGTAAAGTCAGGACTGACACCGCGGAGACAACCTCAACAAAGATTTCATTCATTCAACCTGTAGACGGGTGAATCCCACCGAGCCTCGGGGACATTTACAAGAGACACCTGATTTTAACAAACACTGATGACAACAACGACAACAAAATACAGTGACAAAAGAGGCATACAGATTTAAATTTCTTTTTTTTTTTTAAACAAATCAAAACACAATAGCAACTAAAAGGACAATCAAAAGGAAAAGTAGTGAAAAGAAAGAAAAAACATCTAGATCATAAGGCGGTGTAGAAAACTAAAAACAGGAACTTGTCTGTGTTTTTTTCATTCAACCTTTATTTCTACAGGTAAAACCCACCGAGCCTCGAGGACTCATTTACAAGAGAGACCTGGTGCTGGTTCTTCCAGGAACTGAACAGATGTTTGAAGCCACTTAGAGAGGTCAAAGGTCAGGATCTTCAGGTCTTTTTACAAGATGTTCCAGGAAACAGGAGCGGAGTAGGAGAAGGTCCTTTTGCCTAGTTCAGTCCTCACTGAGGGAACACTGCAGGTAATGATGTCCTGAGAGCGCACGCTGTAGCTGCACTCACGCAGAGACATGTAGGAGGAGATGTATGAAGGCAGCAGACCAGGAAGTGATTTAAAGATGAAGATGTACCAGTGGGAGAGTCTGTGTGAAGTTAATGGTGACCAGTTAACCAGTGGATACTGGGTGCAGTGGTGGTACAGTAGTTACAGCCAGTTATAATAATAATAATAATAATACTTTATTTATAAAGCCCTTTAACACAGCCACACAAAGTGCTGTACATATAAAATCAAGAACATTTAAACACATCAAACAGTTGTTAAAACATTAACATCAATAAAAAATAATAAAAACGGTGCAGAGCCAAATTCGGTTATGAATCTTAGTGCACCATGATAGACAGCATCCAACATCTGCAGCATCCAACATCTGCAGCATCCAACATCTGCAGCATCCAACATCTGCAGCATCCAACATCTGTAGGGTTCTTGTAGGAGCGTTCATGTAAATAATGTCACTGTAATCAATGGAGGGAAGGAAAGTCACAGTTACAAGGTGTTTCCTAACATTCAGAGTTAGACAGGATCTGTTTCTGAAAAAGAAACCCAGTTTAACTTTCAGTTTCTTTACTGGGTTTTCCTCATGAAGCTTAAAAGAGAGATGTGAGTCGACCAAGATACTCAAATATTTATAGGAATCAACAAACTCAATGGGGACACCATTTGAGGATAAAATCAGCGGAAGAACTGCTGGGACCAACTTCCTATTTGAAAAAAGCATCCCTTTGGTTTTGTCGACATTTAATCTGTATGCCTCTTTTATAACTGTTTATTGTTGTTGTTGTTGTTGTCCATTGTTGTCATCTTTCTTTGATGAAATCAGGTCTCTCTTGTAAATGAGTCCTCGAGGCTCAATGGGATTTACCGTCTAAATAAAGGTTGAATGAATTTATGACAAGTTTGAGGTAGAACAAATCTGACTGGAAAGCCTTGGCCTTTTAGTGAATGTAAAATGTGCTTAAGTGGTCATCAAACAAATTAGGCTGGATTAGATTAGAGTCAACTTTATTGTCAATGCAGAGTACAGGCACATAGCCAAGGCAGCCACCTCGATTATCCACCTGAAAAGGGTCTTACTCTGTGGCCCGAACCACAATGTGAACTCCCACAAATGTTACCTCAAAACGACCGGCTTGGCACCGTAATGTGTGCTGTTACTTTTAGTGGCATTTCAAGTTACCATGGCGACGTAATTTTCAAACAAAGACGCCATTTTTCACATTGAAAAACACAGACAGAACTCTTCACAGCCTCTAACTGCCACATGAGGAGACCTAGAGGGGAGAGGTCTCTGACCAAAACACTGATTAACTTTTGGAGCCATTTTGGTTCAAGATGGCTGCCACATCTACCTCAGAAAACAAATATCCAAGATG